GTCGGACACCCCGGTATGTTTGATAAGGGTACGTTAGGCATTCCGATATGCCTAGCAGGGGTAGGTTGAGCACCCCGGTATGCTTAACAGGGTACGTCGGGCAGCCAAATATGCCTGGCAGTATATAAGAATGTATGGTATGTGGTATGATGGGGAAAGACACTAAGCTTTATGCTTATAGTTTTCATTTTTGATTTCAGGTACCTCTTCATCGAAGGAGAAGGAGCCTGCATGGTAGCAGCACATCACACACATAGGATTTCCGCATAATGAGATTCTTAGGAGTGTACTCTGACTTTATTACTATTTTATGACATGGTTGAGACGCGTTGACTTTTACTGTTGACTTTGACTTTGACCAAGATTGACTTTTGAGGGCATTTTGGTCCAAGTGTTATTTTGGTGATGATAGCTCGGGGAGCCGAAGGAGTAGCAGTCCAGGAATTGCCAGAGGAGTATCACCAAGACTTCAGCAGTGCGAGGTGAGTCTCTTCACTTTTTGTATGGGTCTAAGGCACCAATGCCGGCCTATTTAGTTTATGTATGGTAGGAAGACCCGAGGGTTAGCCCTAGGTACTATATATGAAAGACCAGGAGGTGGCTCCTGGAACACAGTATGCTATTATGTATGATAGGAAGACTCAGGGGGTCAGCCCTAGGCAATATACATGAAAACTAGGAGGTGGATCCTGGCACACTGTATGATCAGTAGCTAAGTAGAGTAGTATATCTGCTAGTTGTTTTTCTATAAATTGTTTTATGAATCGTTATATCAGAAATGAAAATTTTTTGGTCTTGAAAATTAGGATGTTATAGCAGCTACACATCAGCAACTCCCATAACTGATTCCATTGCAACTTTGGGACAATTTTCATCCAAACTTCCAACACTCGTATCTTCTTCGTTTTAAACTTATTTTCTATGATCTCTATATCAATGAAAATGCGGGGATGAGTTCTACAACTACAGAAAGTCATTTCTATATATAACATACGATTCTAAATCTATCAAGTAACGAAATTAGCCTAAAAAGCATAAAATTCTCATTTTACCCTTTTTGGCAAAAATACATCATCTCTTGCATTTCTTCTCTTCAAATCACTTAGTTCTTCTTATAAATGTTAATTTGACTTATTTTGACCAATTTAATGAATTTACATTTTCATAATGTAACGTCCCAAAAATCACGACTAAAAATTTCTTTTAAAGCATTACTAAAACCATATTTATAAAAACTGCATCATAAGTCATAACATAATTTCCGAGTATTAATCCAAAACATAGTCTTATTAACAGAGTAAACATTCCCAGGCTAACTGACTATGGTGTGTGCACTGCAATCTCTCTGAGCTCCACCCCTGAAAACCGAGTACCTGAAACCAAAAACTGAAACCGTAAGCACGAAGCTTAGTGAGCTCCCCTAAACTACCACATACCATACAATAACATATAAAGCATATATTGGGCCTTGCCCACTGGATCAGACCGAGGTCCGGAAACTGACTGGGACCTTGTCCCCTGCATCGGACCGAAGTCCAGACTAACTGGGGCCTTGCCCCCTACATCGGACCGGAGTCCGGAAACTGGTTGGGACCTTGTCCCCTGCATCAAACCGAAGTCCGGACTAACTGGGGCTTTGCCCCCTGCATCGGACCGGAGTCCGGAAACTAACTGGGACCTCTTTCCTGGCATCGGACCGAAGTCCGGACTAACCGCATCTAACCGAAGTCTAGAACTAACTGAACATAGCATAATAGAAACATATCAACTAGTATGAACACACATATACTGCATACTGCATCGGGCCGTAGCCCGAAACACATAACACATAAATCCTATGTGAGCCACGAAGGCATCAAACATACTAACTACTGCATCGGACCGAAGTCTGGTAATTATTGCTAGCTAAACGGGTCGGCATTGTGGCCTTAGACCCGTTTCTACTGGAAGGAAACTCACCTGAACTGCTGAGCTCTACTGATAACCCTCTGGCTGCTAACCAACTACCTTCTGAGCCGCTGCTCCTCTAGCTCTCTGATGTACCAATATCAAAATGATACTTAGTCTGACAGTCCTCCAAAAGTTAACTAAGTCAACTCTGGTCAAAGTCAAAGTTCTGGTCACAATCAACCTTCCAGGCTGACCCTACTCGCCGAGTCAGCCTACTGACTCGACGAGTTCATAAGCTTTGAAATCCCTTTCATTCACGACTCGACTCGCTAAGTCTACTGATTTCCGAGTCCTGGCCTGTTCAACTCACTGAGTCCCCACTCAACTCACTGGTCTGAGTCTTAACTCGAAGGGGTTTGGGGTTTCGTGACTTGACTCGCCGAGTCCAAGGCAATCTTCAACAGACTCGCCGAGTTGTTCTTCCAACTCGTCGAGTTGCTGCCTAACTTCATCTAACTCGCCGAGTTCACACATGTGACTCGCCGAGTTCCTACGCGACTCTAAGACTGATATCTAGCCCGACTCGCCGAGTCATCTCCCAAACTTGCCGAGTCCATACGTGCTTCCCCATAATCTCGAGTTACAGAGCTACTCCTTTGCTCTAAACTAAAGATTTGGGTTTTTATAGTCCATTAGCAACATAAAGTTGCTACCTTTACATGCTTCTTGACCCCTAATGCCAAAAACCAATCTAGAGAGAAACTTAACTCATGGGGGATCGCTTTTGCATAGCAACTAGCACGGCTTTCTGCATCTATGATCCAAATAGAGCTCAGATCTAGAGTTTCAACTCCAGATCTAACTTGTGCACCAATTTCTCATCACATACTCTAAAAAAAACCCTAAAACTCCATGAAAGATGGATCTAGAAAGAGGAAAGCCAAGGATAACGATTCATTACCTCCAAAACGTCCTCCTACTGAGAAGGAATCCGAAACTCCACGAACCACCTTGATCCAAGATTCTTGATCTTCAAGATTTCTTCACAAAACACTTAATAATGCCTTAAATTGCTTCCAATGGCTCCCACTCACGATTCTAGGGCTTCTGGATCTCAAAGAGGAGTAAAAAGGTTGGGGAATGGGTGTAATCTTCCTTAAATAGGCTAAAAACCCCCGGATTAGGGTTTTTCTCGATCAGACCAGACTCGCCGAGTCCACTCGCCGACTCGCTGAGTCGGTCACTTATTCTGCACCCGGATCCCACTCTGACTCGTCGAGTTCTTCCCTGGACTCGACGAGTCGACCCTTTAACTTAGGGTTTTCTTTCCTTTCTTGGACGTTCTGATTTTGGGTGTTACACTTAATTCATGAAACTCCTTTAAATGACAAAATTGCCATTTTGGTCAAATATTTACCCAAAGTCAAATCTCTTTTAATGTTAGGTTCTTTAAATAAATGAATAGCTATACTTGGAAATGGTTGATAGTCAATCGTGTAGTCTATCCTTGATTCATCAAGAATTTTTATTGAGAAACATATTTTAAACATAAGAGCTAGACAAGAATTCAATCTATCATGTTCATATCAGATATCTAGAACAAATGATGCTTGATCACTTACCTAAGTCTAGATCGAACCTAAGGGTTCAAAATATCTTTGAAGTTGTTAGGAAGATGTAACCTATGTAATATTTCAAGTTCAACCATAAAGAAGTTATGACATGTGCATATGAGAGTTTGTTGGAGATATGCCCACAACACAACATGTTGGTGCTAGAATTAATTATATGGGTCTATATAGGTTGCACACTTGTCTCAACTATAAAAATGAAAGAATAGATAAGTAGATTGATTATTTTTTTTTTGTGTGAAAAAAATATAAATTAATTAATAACTAATTACATAGATTAATTTATTATTTATTGAAAGTCAATAAAGATAATTGGAAATTAATAAGGAAGGAATAAAATTCAATAAACCTTCCAAGTTTGAATTATGGTAATGTTACCATAATTTGGAAATCTTATAGGATAGGAAAAAACCCCTTAGTGTTTTTCAAACAAGTGAGCTATCTATAATATATTTTCAAACAAATGAGCTTATCTATAATATATTTTCCATTCCTATTAGAAAAAGAATGATTTTATTTATTTATTTATTTATTTATTTATATTTTTTTTTGTATAATTCAGTTAACAATGTCACTTAATCTGAGTGTCTCTCGAACAAAAACTTTATCATTTCTAAACCTCCAAATATACCAAATTGCAGTACAAACAATAGAATCCACAATGACTTCTTTCTGCAAGAGATTGGTAATTGATCCACGTACAAGAACATCTTAGCAACCGAACCAATATGATTTTGAGAGATTTCTAACCAATTAAAAATCGCTTTCCAAGTCCTTGCTACAACCTCACATTTAACAAACTTATGATCGAGTTGCTCTACCCCCAATTCGAATGACATAAAGAATGGTAGGGACATCCATCCCAACAGTGGAAAATATTTAATTCGTTGGAATTCTATCATCCATCACATGCCAAATAATAAATATTTACCTTCCAAGGTATAAATAAGTTCTGCTCTCGTAGCTTCGCCCCCTTAGCAGTTTCACAAATTCTCTTGTTTTTATTAAGCCTCAGCCTACGTCTTCCCTAGTGGTTGAAGTTTCCATCTACAGTTCCACCTTAAGGCTTCTCCCTGTTAACTTCGCCATGAGATAAGTCTCCACTTCTCAAAAGGGCATAAATGTGGACAATGATGTATCGGGGAGGAAGACAAAGGTACGACTGTGATGAGTTTTTTTATTCTTGGTTTGGGATATGGTTGCATGCAATGTGTGTGTGTGTGTGTGTGGTGGGGGGGGGGAAGTTGGGGTTGATTTAAAAATAGTAAGAACTTTTAACAAAAGTTTAAAAAAAAAAAACAAAAAAACAAAATAACAAAAAAAAAATGAAAATAACAAAAAGAAAATTGGTAACTTTGTATCTCACACCACATTTCTATTGAAGTTATTATACGGACCATTCATGCAATAAAAGATAGATTAAGAATAAAAGATGCATGAAAAAAAAAAAAAAAAAAAAAAAAAAAAAAAAAAAAAAACATGGATTTTAAATTTGTAATTTGTAATTTTCACCTAACCATATTCAACAATTATGTAATTGTTTCTCTTAAAATTCACAGATATGAGGTGCAATTTGCGATCATATGTACTAATGTCCCCTGCACTGCATGACTTCATCGATCCTTTTTTATTTATGTGGTAAAAAGAGCTCAGTCAATTCGGATTCATCAATCCAAACTTGTACAACCTTAATTCTATTGTTTTCGGATAACATCTTCTTTTCTTCTGCTTCTTTAAGCATTGCGACATCTTTGGCTTTACCCCATAGTACCACATACAATCCTATTATGACTCCAATTGCACCTATCACACTAAAAAAATGGAAGTTTTGTTATTATATGAAAAGAATAAAAAAGCACTCTTTAGGAAAATTACAGAAAAATAAAACAAAAACTAAAATAAAATTCCCGACTTTAAAAAGTAAGCAACTATTCTTTTGTAACATGTTAGGCGTCAAACCACATCAAATAAACATTCAATGTGATTACGTTGCTAACTACTTTGATGCTTAAACTTGGCTATATTTCTTTTTATTTTATATTTTAGCATGTTTTTTTGGTAATCAAAATTAATGTAACAATAGATTAAAGTTCATATAACGCCATTTACCTTCCAACGTATATTTGTTCTTGTAAAAATATAGAAGCGAGGATTGTGACAATGATTGTGTTCAAAGGATTGAACATTGCTGAAAATACTGGACCCCTTCTTTCGATGACCCATGCTTGTGCACATATGGAAATTCCCGAACCAACAATACCCTAATCATCAAATTGGTCACAAAGATATATCATGATCACCCTCAGTTTTCAGACATAAAATATAACATTTTTATTTGAATATCAAACGAATGTCATTAATTACCGCATATAAACAAGTGCCAAGTTGCAAATATGATTTGATTTTCCATGCATCCAAGTATGGATCTGTAAACAACGTAACCACCGCACATTGCATTGTCCCAATAACACACATCCAAGCCGATAAAGATAAGGGGTCAGGGTAGTTTCTTGTGACTGATACCTACAATATTTAACAAATTTCATAACGTTTTATTGTAAAAGAATTCAAATCAATGTATAGTTTTTTTGAACATACATTTCATTAGTGTTAGAATATTTATTATTTTTTTGGAAACACAAACTAATCTTAGTCATAATCGACACCTTAATAGCATGTATGTCTCAAATGAGACTTAAACGCTCAAAGGATGTTTATTGTAGTGTTAATGTATACCTGTATTATTAGCCAAAATGACCAGCAACAACAGGCAACAAAGAGACATAAGCAACCCAGAAGCCAAACTTTATCACTTCCTGTTGCATTTAATGATGAAGAATTCGATGAAGGCAAATGCGCATTTATAAGCTTGGCGCCTTTGATGAATGTCATTGCAGCAGCACTTGCGACACACAAAATCGTCCCTAATATTTTCGCAACAGTTCTCAAGCTTCGAACATCTATTGGCTCCAACCTAAAATATAAATGAAAGAAAATTGTGGTTTAATTTGTAGACACTTCATTGTTAAAATTGTAGGGGAAAAGCTTAGTATATACCCAACAGTGGATGCTATAACAAAGGTGATAGCGGGGATAAGATTAGTCAAAGCACTTGCTGCTGATGATGAGGTCAAGTGCATACCTTCATATTGAAACATCTGGTTGCATGTTACACTGCAATAAAGATTACAAGTATTTAATAAATTACCATATGGTATGTTTCTCAATTATCTTATGATTTATGCTTAGTGTCTGAATTTTCTTTATTATTATTTTTTTTTGTAAGGTTCATATGATTATTTGATTGCTTCTGGTGTATGTATGTACAAATTATTCTGCAATTTTACTTTCGAAATTCTTCGAAAGAGACCAATAAGCACTAAATAAAATCATATTTTAAAATGAAAAACATTAATTTAAACACCATTACAAAAATAAATGGTTGTTAACAACCTTTTTATCACCACATAGGATACTCTTTCATATATGTTGCTGGCTTAATTCAGAATCCTAGGCATTTTAGACTGAGGGATTAATTAGGAAAATTGTCTACTTTTTGAGTTTTTGAGTTAGAATAAGACTCATTTATGCTCGGTATAAGTAGAATAATTTGTTTGAACAAAATTGAAAGTTTATTTTTTTCTCAAAAAAAAGTTCGATGACTAAATATGAACAAACTCTTCACTTGTATTATGTTTAACAAATTATGCAGTTTTGTTAAATTTTAAAAATATTTGTTGATGAAGAAATCGATGAAATAAAAAAAATCTCGAAAAAGGTATAGAAAACAAAAAAACAAAACAAATATTATATGTATAAGTTTTATGTTATAAAACTATGGAATATTATATGTATAAAAATTATCCTAATATTATATGTATGAATTTTGTGGTATAAAATTATGCAGCATATAAATTGACATACATTAAACCATATACGTTGTTAATAAAAAAATACATATACATTATATATGTTGTTATACTCCATGTACTGATATAAATCATATTAGTATATTTACTATAAAAATGGATATCAAAAATAAAAGTCGAGTTGTTTAGAATTTAGACATTTTTAATTTACCCAGATAATTGATTTAAATTTAAGATTGTATTCTCTTAAAAAGTTTGAATAATTATTGAAATTTATGATTATTTAACTAGACATAGAGTTAAGTAAAACTGTTAACATGTTTTATGAAGTGTTGCATCCAAACCACCCCATCATATTACTTTTACAAAAATATTTTTTTAGCAAAAAATAACTATTTATTCAACAATTAAAATGACACTATTTTTTTCTTTCAAAAAAGTCACTCATAATTTTAAAAAGTTTTAGAAAAAACAATTCATATTTAAATAACTATTTTAAAAAATATGGTTTTAATTTTTTTTTTCTGCAAAATACAACGTAATTTCTAACCATAAAACAAGATATTTTTAATAGCAATGGGCGAGAATGATTCATATTTTTTTTATCAGATTGAAAATTTTGATTTTTTATTTTGGAAAATACTAAGTCATTGGTTTTTTATTTCGGTTTCGGTGTTTCGTTTTTTTAATATATTTTTTCAATGTTTTGTTTTTTATTTCATATATTTTTTTATCAACAAATGTTGCTAGCATTTAACAAAAAAAATAATTTGGTAAAACATTATACAAGAGAAAGTATGTTCACATTTTGTCACTGAACTTTTTTAGAGTGAAACGAACATTCGATTTTGTTTTTATTTAGTCAGTAAACTTTTTTTTCATTATCTATTTATTACTGAACTATTGAAATTGTTCACATTTTATCTTTATGATTGATAACACACAATGATATAGTTAAAATATGAATAGTTTTAATAGGTAAGTGGCAAATAGATAATAAAAAAATTTTAATTACTGAAAAAATAAAAAATTGGTTACCTTTGAAGCAATTATCCATTTCAATATAATAATTAGCCCACAACAAGGCATGTATTTTCATTCATTACCTTTTCAATATAATAACTATGTCCTATAGTGTTTTTAATTTCTATTTTCTATCAATACCAAATTTGTTCATATAATCTTATTTTTAGCATGAATATATTATTAAATTTTATACATAATTTTTAACAATTCATACCACTAAAAAATCTCGTTAACGCTTTAAAATCAATACCAATGAATATTATTACGTGTATAAGACATATGGACCTCATTAATCACAAAAGTAAATATCTCATTTAATAATTACATATTATAAAATTATCTTGACCATTATTTTTGAAAATAAGGAATTTTGAAAATCTACTACATATTTTGTAGTACATATTGTTGAATATCTATTCTTTTAAAGTGGCCCTTCTCTTTATAAGGGATTTCATTTTCATAAGTTTCGACTTCAAAAATCATTATATTTTGTTTTCTTATAAATTATACTCAAAAATTAAAAAAACATGTCTTTTAAGTTTCTTATTTTTGAGATTCTTCGAAAATTAGAAAACATATATTTAAATCAAACCGTTCAAACATTATTGTCTATGACATGGTGCCTTTAGGATTATAGAGTTACTTTACAATGAGGGGTTAAACCATATGTTATACTAACCATTCTAATGATGAGTATCATCACATTCAACCACTAAAATGTTAGGATAACTACCACTACGCCCCTTTTATTTTTTTACCATTACGCCCCTTTTATTTTTTTATTATTAAAATAAAAAATATTCATATTTTAATTAATTAAAATGTAAACAGAGGTAGTGAGGGATAAAAAGAGAAAAAAGTCAATTATATGTGGTAGTTGGTCCTCTCCCTATTATAATTGACCATGATTTTTTCGACCACTAACCATCATTAAAAATATAGTATGGTGTTAACAATAGTTGTGGGCTTTCGGTGGCTACATGGACCATGGATATCTCGTCAATCTAGGCGCTAGAACTGTTTTTTGTCAGCAAATCATCTCATCCAAAAACTGTTGTATAAATAGGATCTAGATGGTTCTATACAGGACCTTTAGTGCTCTAGAAAAATTATTAATGTTTTTTTTTTTTCTCTTTTTTACAATCATTGTGGTGAATTATGTGCAAGAATAATGATTTTAATGTGTAAAACTTTATTGATGGTTTTTTTTTGTGCACATGAATAATAAAATTTATTTGGGGAATGTATTATGTAAATGACACTTATTATAAATAAAATTTATTTATAATGTTTTTGACCTATTTCGTAAGAATTAAGTTTATGTGCACCTTTCAACACCAATAACTTAGAAAGTTTTGATGGCCTCTTACAACGTTTTGAATTACAAAAGATTACCTTTAATAGATGGAAAACGCATCCTTAAATATTTTAAAATCATAAATTATAAAAAATATAATTCGATAAAAACAATGAGTTTGAAGTTTCCAATAAAAGCAATTTTCTATATCACTTTGTATTAGAAAACAAATTTTTGAAATTTAAGTGACTTCAAAAATTCTATTAAAGTTATTTCCGAAATAACTTTACGTTATTAAATCAAATTTCAAAAACCAAAATTTTACATTTTAAGATAAAAAAAGTTTGAACTAATAAAAAAAAACCAATACTAAGGAGGTGTTTGGATAGGGATCGAAAAAATAAGCTGCTTATTGCTTATTGTTTAATCCTACCGTAATAAGTAAATTTAAGTGTATGGATAACAGTTTTTAAAAATCAGCTTATTGCGGTAGGAATAAGTAAAATAAACTAATTTTAGTAAGCAATGGGGGGAAATGTTTATTGCTTATTGTTTATTGGTCATTTTATTCATATAAGTTGTTTTATTTTGCCACACATTTAAATGTTTATTATTTATTACTTATTCTCACCGCAATAAGCTAATCCAAACACATTTAAAAAAATGTTTATTTTCACCACAATAAGCAAATAAGTAATAAACTAAAAACTATTTATCCAAACACCCCCTAATTATACACGGTCTCATCATCAATAAGTCTCATCATCAATAATAACATATCAGACATGTGATAATTCTAATAAGAAATAATACTTATATATTTTTGCATATATATAATTGTAATAATAGTCAATATATATTGATTTTAAGGTGATGATTTGTCTTTTTAGTGCATGGTATATATTATTAAAATCTATATAAATATATTAGTGATATAATTGTAATAAATAACAATACGTATAAACTTAATAAAGATATCAAATGGAAAATATAGAAACATGACATATAGAATAACCTAATGGGTTAAAATTGCAAATATGTAGAGACTACTTTCTATATCTAAAAGATACGTCTGATGGCTCTGAGCCAACAACCCCACTTATGCAAAAACATTTTAAAACAGCACCATTTTTGTGCAAATAAATCATAAATTAGCATCATTTTCGCAAAATCTCTCAGTTTAAGCCGACCCTACACGCTACATATTAAAAAAACACTGCCGAAAGAATGAATTACCCGATCAAGGCTGTAATGAAGATCAACGAAAAGCTCTTCCATCCCATAGAACTACTCTCTGATTTATTCCTAGCATACATGGACAAATAACAAATTTCAGAACTAGACATCTTATTATATGCAAACACGTTGAGAAATTTTGAGAAGAAATTTATGCATGTTGGAACAAGATTATGTCAAAAGCTACCTAAAAAAGTAAGCAACGGGAGCAATGAATAATGTTCCGAAAGCCTGTCGATAGAAAACAAAAACTCTAGGACTCATTCCATGCAAGAGAGAAGCTCTAGCGAATATGTACATTATTGCATATGTAAACTGCAACATCACCATAACCATGACTGGCTTGTAATGCTCTATCGACCCCATTGAAGCTTATCAGGTTTGTAGAGTTGAGTTATTAATTACTCTACGTATTCAAACTTTGGTCTCCGAAGAGAACCCTTTAAATATATATACAATTAGAAAAAGTGACCAGGTGTTTGGTATTTGGGTCCCTAATCTCTAAACGTTTGCAATTTCAGTCCCTCGTACTTCTGAATACCAAAAGTCATTGATTTATAGATGAAAACTTTGATGTGGTGCATGAATATTCAAGGACGTTGCGTTGGAGTGAGAAGTTGGTAGAACTTTAAGAGATGGGTGTGATAAGTGTTTAGAATATTAAAGGGCATAAAAGATGTGAAAAATGTGGAAAAAATGTTCATATTCAATTATAGAAAAGTGTAAAAAAATGTTGAAATATTATAAGGAAAAAAAATGTAGAGGTATTTCGAACGTTATATTATTTAGTTAGAACAAAAACTAAAATTGTTAATTAAAAAATATAGCCCAGTGAATTCATCCCCTTCTCAATTACTATCCATTATAATCACGGAGGCCACCTCTAGCTCCTAATGTGAAGGACATATTCAAAATGTCATTATGATTCACATCACCGTGTTCTGAGTTTGACACTTATGCTTAGGATGTAAATTAACCAAACAAACACGAACAATTGCTTGTTCATTTACACGTGTTGAAGTTAGCTCAACAAAAAAACGGATACGAATAGATAAGCAAACAAGTTTTCTTGTTGACGTTATTTGTTTGATAAATTATATTGTTAATGTTCGTTTGTTTATATTCGTGAAAATGTTAAATGGATATAAATGAATGAACATAAATAAAAAAAGATAAACAAACACAACATAACATATATGAACACAAACGAACATATAATATATTAACGTAATACAAAATAATCGAACATATATGAACATAAATGAACTTATACGAATGAACAAAAACAAACATAAACGAACAAGATAAATAAACACTAACATAATAAATTAATGAAAAAAAGTCATGGCTTATATTCATTCGTTTAACTAAACGAACAACATTTTATATTCATTTATCGAATAAACAAAAATATATGAAATTTTTTGCAAATTGAATGTTCATTTCGTTCACAACCTACTTGCGCAACACTCGTGATAAATTTGGTAAAACATAATTTCACATAACCAATGATTTATTACAAGCGAAAAAAGTGTCGAACGAGATATTTAAATGATTCAAAGTTTGATGACGCAAATAGTGTACTCACCCACACACATGAATACTGACCAGGGAGAAATATGAAGGCCAACCTTTATATAGAGCATATAACTTTTAAAAAAAGGATTCATTTATAAGAAATCCACTTTTTAGTTGGGAGTCTCCTAAACCGCCCAAAAAGAAATTGAACTCGTACTTTAAAAGAGGCTATAATATTGTTGGGAACTAAAAAGATCAAGTGGCGAGATCCTTATATTTCTAATGGGTACCATTAAAAAAATGATTTTCAAAAAAAATCCAAATTCACCAGTATTGATTATATCTAATATAGTCAAATTTTACCTTTAATTTCAACAAACCGTTTATGGGGCGTGTTCGACACACTGTTTTTGAGAGTTCGTAGCTTATAACTTTGAACAAAACGTTTAGGAAAAAAAAGTTTCGTTTGGCATCATTGGGCAACAAGAGCGTTTAGCTTTTAGAAAAATCAAACGCTCCAAATTTCAAATGTTACTACCACAAGTGTTCAATCACAAGCTCCAATCTAGCATCACAAAATTACTAAATTACCCATAAGAAATTCACATATCCGATCATGTCATTCTTATTTCACCCTAAACCATCATGATTGCCTCTCCATCGTCTCTCAAGAAGAACCTCACAACTGTCAGACCTATCCCTCTCCCGCACAGTTAAGATTTTCTCCCGCACAGTGAAGAATCTTCATAAAACAAGTAATTTTTCAATTCATGTGTATGTTTTGTCATAGAATTCAAAAAATTTCATCTTCATTATAATATTACGGGTTTAAGTCATTTTTTTATCATTTAACTTTTATATTTGTGCTTATTTGGTCAGTTAACTCATTTTAAGTTCTAAAATGTCATCGTGCTTTTGGCTTTGTGCTCATTTAGTAACTTAACTTTTAGTTTGGGCACTTAACTTTTGGATTTGTGCTTATGTAGTCACCTACATTTTAAAATTGTGCTCATTTAGTTACTAAACTTTTAAAATATTTTAAATGATTAGTGACTAAGGTGCTGTTTGTTTTTTCTGAGGCAAAATGTATGCAGTCTGCGGACCACATCTGTAGACCTCTGCAGTAGAAGAAGTGGACCAAACGTCAGCAGTCTGAAAAAAGAAGACTGTTTGTTTTTCTAACATCTGCGGGCTATTAAAATAAACTGAAATCTAAATAAACTGATTTTTTAAAACTTCAAAGCGAATTTTTTATATATTTTTACGACTTTATTATAAATATATAACGAATCTAGATCAACTTTTATGTATTATTATATAAAAAATAAAAATAAAAATGGTATTAATTCATATACATATTTGATAAAAACCAACAACTTTGATTGCAAGGTTATAACTAAACATTATAATTAGTGATCAAAGAATTTGTACATAAATAGATGGAAATAAACTTCGATTTTTTCAAATAAATCTATTAAAAACGTACGATAAATATTTTCTCGAGAAATTGATGATACTCTATTAAATAAAGTTTTACAAAATTTTGGCAAAAAAATATAAGAATATATTTTGATTTTTTTTTTTTTCATATTTATATAAACAATTTCAACGACTATTATTATAATAAATTTTTATTTATAAATTTGTTAAAAATATCATGTTTGTATCGTCAAATGTTTTTTTTAAGTTTTGTAATTTTTTTTCATGTTGTTTATCATTAATAAAGTTGGAAAAAATATAAATTAAAAAAAAAAACTTAAAAAAAATAAAGATATATATGTTTTTTTAAGCTAGAAGATGTCTGAAGATGTTAGAAGACTCTGGTCCACATCTGCACCAAGAAGAGGGCGCGCGTGGTCTGCGCGGCGCAGACAGAAGACATCTCGCAGATCTGCAGACAAAAAAAACACTACCTAAATGAGCATAATTTTAAAAGTCAAATGACAAAATGGGCAAAATCCAAAAGTTAAGTGATCAAACTAAAAGTTAAGTGACTAAATGAGTACAAAGTCAAAAGTTTGATGACCTTTTAAAACTTAAAAAGAGTTAATTGACCAAATGAGCACAAACCAAAAGTCAAATGACCAAAAATGACTTAAACATTAATACTACCTCATTGTTTTTTGATCAATCTAATGAAGATATGTGTGATGAGTCTATTTGGTTCGTAGTAAAATAAGTTCTTACTGGAAAATTTTAATAATATTTAACAAAAACTAGTATAAAAAACACATGTGAAAAAGTTTAATTGCATGTAATTTCACTTCATGTTAATTGGTTATGAATGAAAATTTATAATCTTTCTTTTTGCTTGCCCCTAACATTAATTACATTGAAAGTTTATAATTTGCTTTTGAATATGAATCATTTTTTCGAAACTATAATTCATTGAATGACATGTAATATCCTAGAATTTCTTCATTACTGAAAAGCTATTACCCTAATCATAATGAATTGTTGTTTATTATTGATACCTTGCTTTTTATTTGTTTCGATTTTTGACAATTCTATCCTTAGTGCTGGCTTGAGGGTTCATGTGCAAGTATTGGTTTAATTAGCAAATAACATGTGAATTTTAATCATACATGCAAGTGAGATTCGGATAAAGAAGCTTTTAATACTTTCATTTATTAGTGTAAAATTGTTATTTGTAAAGATTTGTAGGAGCAAAAACACGTATGTAGCAGAATAAGAGTATATAGTACTAAGAACCATATATCTCCCTAAAAGAAGAAATTATGGTCAAAATTTAATGATTTGACCATGGATCATTTACCTGTTATTAATCTAACAGACACATACAGATGTTGGGGATTTTTTTTTTTTGTACATTCTTTCTTTAGGTGTGTCCAATAGAGATATTGGGGGAGTGGATTCAACGATCGGGGGATACGATTAGTAAAACCTTTCATGAAGTTTTAGATGTAATAATTTCTAGAGGCAAAAGATTCAAAGGTCTAGCACGCGATCTTATACAACCGAAAGATCCAACCTTTCATTTAATTTTTTAAATACAATACTACAATATTATTACTAATTTGAAATTGCATTTAAGATTGGATCGGATGTATCAATGGTACATACATAGTGTCATGCATCCCTGAAACTCAACAATTGCCTTATATTGGTAGAAAAGTGGTACCTACATTTAATGTAATGGCAACTTGTGATTTTGATATGTGTTTTACTTTTGCATCTGTTGTATGAGAGGGATCTGCACATGACAAACGTGTGTTCCTTCATGCTATTAACATACCATCAATGAACTTCCCCAAACCACTTGAAGGTAAATTATCACAATTATGTTTATTTTTTCCAATTATTTAAAAATGATGTTACAATTTCTTATTTTTCACCATTTTAACAGGTAAATATTATTTGGTTGATAAATGTTATCCAGATAGAAATGGATATATGGTTCTATATTCCAAGACAAAATACCATAAATCTCAATTTGGAAATGAGCCTCCAACTAATATGCAAGAAACTTTCAATCGTTCTCATTCATCATTGAAAAGTTGTATTGAAAGATCATTCAAAATCTTAAAGAGTAGATGCAAGATACTCAATGGAATGCCTAAATATAATGTGCAAACTCAGATTGACATTATTATGGACACAATCGCCTTGCATAACTACATTCGTCATAGCTCTGAGGAAGATATGTTTTTCAATTTTGTTGCAAAACATCCTGATTGCGTACCAATTGATGAGCTTCATGATGTCCGTAGTAGTGACATGAGTCATGAAGACTTCTGTGAAATATCTAATAATATGAAGCGCGTCCATAATGATATTGCTACTTTATTATAGAATGCTCGACTTCGATGATTTTATTACTAGATTGTTTATGTTGTAGTATGACTTTAGATTTTGTGATACTACCTAATTATCGAACATTTCCTAGTTTTGAAAAAGAACAATTTAGACAATTAGTTTTTCATTATTATGTTTCTATTTTATATTTACAA